CTTGAAGGTGTTTTTTTTTTTGTGGGAAAAGGGATAACAAGCTTCAGATTCCATTGATAGAAGCTTTTGGTTGAGGGGCCTCAGATTAATATCAAAGAATTGTGGAAACAGTTTTTGAAAGCAGCCTCTTAAGAAATGGCTGCAGGCAGATTTTGGTGTTCTGCCATTCAAACCTGTGAAAAAAGGGGTTTTTAGAACACCCCAGGCCAATAAGCATTCTTATGAAATAATAGTGGTTTAAAAATAAGGCTTTAATTCCAAAACTGCCAGCTTTTGTGATTTGATTTTTATCATTTTAATTGGCTGTCATAGCTGAGCATTGTATTTTGTATGTTTATTTCGTGTCTGTTGAATCTAGACTTTTCCCTGGATGTTCTAACTTGTTCCTCTCATCCCACTGACCTGTTGATACTTCCTTCACAAAACCCAGTATTTAAGTGGAAGAAGTCTTCAACTGACTACTAACTAACCAGTGCTATTTTTGTGAGCGTTGTTTGAAACTGTGAGGAGTGCTAAAGAAAGTGCTGAGGGTAATCTGCTTGGTTAGCTCTGAAAGTGCATAAACTCAAGCTTAACTGTGTTGCAGATATGGATAAGTAATACTTTGCCTTACACCACACTTAAAAAGGTATTGCTTAGCTGCCAGTAATGTCTACATGTAGAGTACCATTAGAGAAGCTAGTGACTTCAAGCCATTTGTAGGGATTGACTGTTAAAAATTGTTGAATAGGTAGTTGCAGGACAGCTAATAAGTTTGGGAAAGAATGAGGTTTGCTTTTGCCCTTAATTCTGAGGTGCCTAAGTGTCAAACTGTACAGGTTGTTTATAGATAAAGGGATTAATGGCTGCTTGCTCTTACCTACCATTTGATTGTGAGTGTTCCTATTCTCACGGAATGCAGCTTTTGGACGTTGAATTCATTGTGTGGCTTGGCCTGGTATTTAAGGGTGACAGGCTTTAGGTACTGAATGCTCAAAGTCCCAGTGAGCAGATGCTACATTTGAAATTTCTCGAGGCTTCCATCTCAGAAGGTAGAACAGGCTGTATTGTTGGAATCACTCTGGAAATGCCTTGAAGAAGATGGAACAAAGCTTCTCCATTAGCAGACTGATGGGTGATGCTGATAGTGTCTTTTGACACCATATGTATTGGACATAGAGTGTACCACCATCTCCTGAAGGAAGGTCGATGAATCTTAACTTCCATTGTCACAGTTTATGCACTTAGCTTTTGTGACCAGGTGGGGTTTTGTTGGAGCAGCTACATCTGTATGCTGAGCCTTAGACCTTTATCATCTTCTTCAGCTTGCCAGTTTCCGCAGCAATTTAAAATCCCTATTTGGCTCACAAGATAAGCATCATTTTCCATTAGGAAAGGAAGACTTAAGTGGGAGGCTTCATTGAGTACAGTCTTCAGTGATGGTGTTTTTACATTTTCTTCACATGCTTGTGTAAGTTATTTGGTTCCGTGTTTGGTTTGTACTTAACTGTCAGGATTGCAGTGAATTAGCCGTAGCATCGTGATGGGATGGTTACCAGTAACTGTAAGTGGTAGGGAGTAATAAACTTCTGAATTTGGAATAGTAAGCCTAGGCAGCATGCTGGGATCTCATTTAAGAGCTGTGCTTCTGGAGAAGCTGTGCATGACAACAGTTCTCAATCCATTTACTGTCAGTGTTTTTAAAGTCACTATGCCGACAGTAGATACTGTTCAGAAGTTGTGTGTGGGCTGGGAGGAGAACAAGGGAGTGCATTCCTTGGTCAGGATTCCCAGAAATGACTGAAAATGAAGCTGGTTTGAACAGGAAGAGGGTAGCCTTTTGAGCGGGGGTGAGTGTTTGAAAGCAGGACAAGTTAGCTACAGCTTAACCTGTCTTGGTTTTATAGACACTGCCTGTTAGTTGCCCTCGGTGCAGTGGTAGTTTTCCTGGTTGTCTCAAGTTTGCAGCAGCGCAACCCAGGTATTTACCAGTCTTAGTACCTGCTATTGAAGTTTGCTTCCCGTGTTCAGCACAGTTGTGACAAAAGGTAGAGATCTGTGAGTTGAGAAAAGTTGTGGAAGAACTGCCTGTCAGGACACTTTGAGTCATGAAACTAGTGTCTAAATTGAAAATTGTCTTTCTTGGTAGAACAGTTTTAATTGTGTGCAGAGCTTGCAGAAGATTTGGGAGGGGAGTGAGTGATTTTGGCAGTTCAGCCTCTGCTCCCTTGGGTGGAGGAAGCATGTTTTCCTAGGGTGTTTGGAGTTGCAGGTTCCTCTCCTTTGGCTTGCTCTGGAAGGGGTTATACACACTTAAACCCATTAGCTGTAACTGGTTGTCCACACCCCTGTTCTGAGGCTGTGCCTGGAAAGCAAAACCTTGCAGTGAGCCCGCCAGCTACAGAGAGGGTGTTTTCACACTGTGACAGTTTAATTTTGTTTTATTCCAGGATACTTCGAATTGTGGAGAACTGTTGTGAAATGTGCAAAGCTGTAGGTTTCCCATGTAACTGGACACACCTTGAGCTGCTAGGGATCAATTCAAAAGTCAGTTTTGCTGAAGTTCAGTCTTAATGTTGCCTGTCTTCCAGTTCTCTTCTGGTACAGAGGCTTCATTATCCCAGAGCTGGTGCACAGCTTGTCCCTATACAACATGTGAAAGGATAAAGTGCTTATGGATTAGCACAAGCTGTTATGTTTCAGTGTAGTGCTTTGTCTCTGTTCCTCAGAGCTCAGTTACGAGGTGGGGGCTGAGCTTTCCGCTCCTAACCAGGTTTTACTGCCTTGGACTTTGCAGCTGGTTCCCTGCCAAAGACCCTGCCAAGTATCTCCTGTTGTCTCTTGGAGAAGAAGCAAGGAAGCTGTCTGAGCTGTCAGCTTCATCTGGTTTAGCCTGTCACTGGCACCAAGACCTGAACCTCCCTGAGGGCTGTGCAGGCAGTTAGTCTTAATGCTGTGCCTGGCCAGGGGGGTTAGTGAAAGGGCAGAAAGGACCGGAGAGGAGGAATCATGCCTGTGCAGAGGGGCTGCAGGCTGAGGACCCCAGGAGGAAGCAGTTGAAGTGTGCATGCCTGAGCAGGGTGGGGGATGTTCAGACACCTTCAGCCGCATTCCTTGAGGGAGAAGGCAGGTGAGCAGCTGTAAGAGGATATACAAACTACTGCTTTTGTAATCTTCTGTTGTGGGTATCAGATAGGGTAGATTGTCTTGAGGACAGCTAATCTGAGCCCCTATTGCTTCAACCTACTGAGCTGCTCCTGCTGCACCAGAGTTAAGTGGTGATGGAGAGACAGCCCATTGATCCCTGGAAATCACTTCCTTTGCAGGGTGTCCTACCTGTTTCCATGCTGTCATCTCTGTGCTTGACCATCACTGCCCTCTCAGCAGCAGGTGAGGCAGCATGCCCAGAAGCGGGGAGCTCCTTCAGTTTTGGGGTTGGTGATTGTTTAATACTGCTGCACTCACAACTCAGCACCTGGGAAGCAGCTGCCAGGGTCAGACTCATTTTGGTGGCATTCTTCCAAGGGCAAGTTAAATGTACTCCAATAGCTCCTTTGTAAAGAAATGTATAAAACCAGTCTGTGTTGGCACAGTGAGCAAGGCCAAAGCAAGATTCCATGGCAATGGGAGCAGATGACAACAGCACCAACCTCTGGAAGCCAAAAGCTTTTAGGGATAAAAGAGAAATCTTGTTTACAAAAATAAAAGGGCTTGTTGGCATGATGGGAAGTAGAAATTCTAGAGGCAATCAATTTTTCAGATTAAAAACGGCCTTGATGTTACCTGCAGGAAGCAGGGAGCAGCTCCTCCCCATCCTTGTCCCCATCGCATCAAGGGTTCTCTCAGGACCACATTCACTGTTAGAGCAGGGCTGGCAGCATTCCTTGTGCATTTTCATGTCACTGGAGGGACTGGAGTGAGGATGTCTGAAGAAGCACGCAGCAGGTCAGTACCTGGACTCTCATGGTTGTAGGGAGAAAGTAAGAGGGAGGACAAGAGGGAAGTGAGGAAAACCATGACTTGTCACTGCATGAATCTTCAGGAGCTGTGCTGAAGGGGAGGGGTAGGTGATCGTGTACAGCCCCAGTGCACGGCTCTGCTGAGGTTCAGCTCAGCTGCCTGTGGGTATCTGGGACCCGTGCTGCCCTGGGCATCAGCCCTGCAGCTCCCACGGTGGCTCCATCCCTGTGTGGTTACAGGCTGTGAAGCCACAGACCCATCCGGCTCCTTTCAAGTGCCAGTCTGCTACCCTCCTGCTGTCTTGTGTTACATATCTGCCTGATAAAGCAGCCCCTGAATGGATTATTTGATAACAGTTAACACACTTGCAAAGCAGCAGCGTGCTGCAGAAGCAGTTTTGCAGGAGCCAGGGCGACAGTTTGCAGAGATGGAAGCATCCACGCTGCTGCTGGCAGGTTTGAGGCTCGTGGTGGAGCACCTCTCTTTGAAACTTTATTCTACTTTAAAAACCTGAAGGGCCTAATCCAGACCTTGGGGCCCTGTGGACCGCTCTGGTTTCAGGACTGGCTGTTGCTTGATCCAGAGCCTGGGATTTCAACGCTGGCTATGGAGGGATGTGTCCAGGTGTGGGAAATAGAATAATCTGGAGTATAAGAACAAATCACTTCCCCTAAGTCCTGACTCACATCCCCCGCTGCAGGGAGGGTGCAAGAAGCCGCAGCCTGTTGCAGCGGTGGAGGTGCACCCTCCCCAGCACGCGAGACTGGTGCTGCCTCCCGCCTGCCCCGGAGGAGGGCGGTGCGCGGCGGGATGCTGCGGTGCCCGCCTCAAACCGGGGTGCAGGTAGCACGGCCGGACCGGGCTGTCCCCGCCCTGGGGCACAGGGGACGTGTGGGGAGGAAGGGGCAGCGGTGCCGCAGGGTGGACAGCGAGCGGGGCTACAGCTGGGGAGGGCTGCGGGGGGTGGGAGGTGCGGCTTGGGGCGGTACCGCCGAGGGGCGGACCCGCGCCCGGCGCTGCCGCCGGAGCCTTTAAGAGCCGCCGACGGCCGCCCGCGCTGGGCGCTGTCTGACGGGGCGAGCCGAGAGGGACGGAGTGGAGCCGCGCCGAGCGGAGCCGCCGGGCCGCCCCTCCCATGCGCCTGCCGAGCATGTCCCAGCCCTTCCTGCTGGCGCCTATCGCTGAGTGCGCGCCGGGGCTGCCCGGCCCCCAGGTCCGGCTGGCAGTACTGGGTGCCCGCGGAGTTGGCAAGAGCGGTGAGTGCCGGGGGCTGCCCTTCCGTGCCCCCTCTCCCTTCCCGTGCCCGCCCATCCGTCCCGCCTAACGCGGCCGCTCTGTGTTTCAGCGATGATCGTGCGGTTCCTGACGAAGCGCTTCATCGGGGACTACGAGCCCAACACAGGTGAGGCGGCGGCGGCGGGCGGCGGGTGCGGGGTCCCGGTGCCGCGGGTGGTGCCTGACGCTCTGCGTTCCCCAGGCAGCCTCTACTCCCGGCTGGTCCGTCTGGAGGGTGACCACGTTGCCGTGCAGATCCAGGACACGCCGGGGTGCATCCAGGTACGAGCTGCTTTTCTCTGCCACCTGAAGGCTCAGCTTTTGAGCTCCAGTTTCCTCCAAGGCCAGGCTTCCCTTTAGACCTGTTTAATGGTGCCACCTATGATACAGGCTTTATCCTTTCACTGCCTGATACCAAATTTGTGCTGTCTGTTGTACCGCAGGTGCAGGAGGACTGTGTGCAGGTGCTGGACGCCCTGTCCCGGTGCGTGAAATGGGCAGAGGGCTTCCTCCTGGTCTACTCCATCACAGACTACAGCAGCTACCAGGTAGTCCGGCCGCTCTACCAGCACATACGCAAGGTCCACCCAGACGCCAGGACCCCCATTATTATCGTGGGGAACAAAGCTGACCTCCTCCACGCCCGGCAAGTGCAGGCAAAGGAGGGACTACAGCTGGCGAATGAACTGGGCAGCCTGTTCTTGGAGATCTCCACAAGTGACGACTCCCAGGGCGTCTGTGATGTGTTCCAGTACCTGTGCAAGGAGCTCAGCAAACTGCAGCATGCTGGCAGCACAGACAGGAGGCGGGTGTCCATCATCCCTCGGCCCAAATCTCCCAATATGCAAGATATAAAGAGACGTTTCAAACAGGCTTTATCTTCCAAAGTCAAATAAACCGCTGTGATGAGATCCTGTGTGATCCAGTAGACCTTATTTTTGTAAACTAGTTAATAAAAAATCTTTATTTTTGTACTAACACCAGCAGTATGGAAGTAAGTATGTCAAAGCTTGCGATTTCGTTGCCATTCTCTCTTGTTTGACTGGTTGGGTTATTTTTACAGTAAGAAAAAAAGCTGCATAGCAACTAAATAGAGGTGGTTGGAGAAGGGGATTTTTGCCAGGAGGGTTTGATTCCATTTCTGTTTTGGGCTGGGGTTTGCTGCTTGACACTGCTCAAATGACTTTTTGGGGGCCTCAGTTTCCTGTTTCCAGAATGGGAGTGATAATGATGTAACGCTCTGCTGCCTTTATAGAATGTTTGAAAGCCTTTGATGGAAAGCTTCATATGGAGAAAGGAAAAAAAAGCTCTATTAAACATGAAAACAAAACTGTCTGAGAGTTCTGATTATCATGGGATCACTTTTCTCCTTCAAAACTGCTGTTTTACCTGCACCCATAACCGCCTGAATGGTAATAAGCTGTTGGGAATGAGCTCCGATTTCTGATGTGTTTTGGAGTAATCAATGCCACAGAATTAATCTCTTGAGCCCTCAGTATTTAACAGAAGGGTTGAGTTCCTCCTACAGGTTACCACAGGACAAAGTGCTGAGCAATTCGCAGCAGAGGAGGGTGTGGGATGGCTGTTGCTTTCTCTGGAGATGTGTGGTAGGAAGGACAGATGTGTAGGCTCCCTTAACAGAAAATAGCTACTTTTAAAAGGAATAGCACCTCTGTGTTCCTCAGATCAATTTTGTAGCCATTAGAAACAGGTCAGATGTTTTACTCTCATTTTACAGAAGCTCTAAACCATACTAGAATGATTTTATAAACTGTTTGCTGAGTGTTTGAGCATGGCATGTGGGGTTTGCACTTCAAATATGCCTCTGAAGTATGTGCACAGTGTTGGTAAGAAAATAAAGCTGTGCTTCATGCTGGGTAGAAAGTGTGGAGTAATCTGTACTGGAGGAACCTCGCTGTTCCTGTTCAAGCACAACTCCAGTGGGGTTTTACTTTGGTCTTAAGATATGAGATTAAAAAAAGATCATTTTCTTCTTTCCTTTTGCTGGGAAAGACAGGTAGCTGCTGTGTAAGTCCCCGTGCTGCAGGTATGCTGCTGTGCCTTGCAGTTAGAGGGGTGTTTCTGATCCCTGGGGTTTGAAGCTTTCTGGAACAGCTCCATTCTTCATCTGCAGATGAAAGTCTCCCTGGTGGTGATAACTGAGGGAAGAGTGACCGAGCAAATTACGGATGATGCTCTGTGAGGAAGCACCAGAGGCCTGTGTTAGTATTGGGTAGGGGTGTTGAATGCTAGCAGGACTGTTCCCCATCCAGGGCCACATGCACAACATGAGTCGGGCACATGAGATACCTGTGTACCTCCTTTATGAAAGCCTTTGCTGCCCTACCAAAGGGAATGGGAAAGCTGAAGGGAGGCAGTTCCAGACCTGCAGGAACCAAAACTGTGCCCAAAACTTTTATTCACTGAAGTGCCAAAACATGGTGATGGCTGGGACAAACAAATGACTGCTTAAAACACATTTTAAATAGTTCTTTGCTGTGAGAAATGCTCTGCCAGGCCCAGGATTCTGGGCAGGGAGAGGGGATTGGTGGGAATGAGCATGAACTTGAACTCACCACACTGGTCATTCACAGGGAAATCTGAATGGGAACTGAAAAATCAGAAGTGGGATATTTATGCAGCATTTCACTGTCCTGAAGTCATGGATAATGAGAAATTGCTGCTGTGATAGGGTTTTGGTTGCTTTTTAAACTGTAGTCTTTGTCTTTGGAAATAATAAATCTCAATTCCTTACTCATGTATTCAGTACAGAATTTCACCAAGCAAGCTGCTGAAGTTATCTAGGTCATACATGGGCACAAAAAGTGCTAAAAGGACAGGTAATGTGCACTGGACCTGTCTGCATCTCCCCATGGTCCTTAAAGGCCAGGTGAAAGACAGCATTAGGCACCAACCTCTGGCAAAGCAGGAGCTCAGGGCCCTACTGTGGTAGAGGGGAAGAGGTTGAGCAGGAGCAAGAGGATACGGTCATTTGCCCCATCTCTGCTATGAGGAGAACGTAAAGAGATGCCCCTTGTTATGTAGGCACCCACATTTAGGTGGAGGTACAAATCTTTCCATTCCCTCCCCACACTTCCCATGCTGTTGGGCTGGTTTGGCTACATGTGGGAGCAGGATGAGGCCTCTTGGGGATGTAATGAGGAATCTTGCTGTCTAAAGGATGCCTATGGCAGGGAGGGAGGGTTGTTCTGACCTGCTTCCAGTCTAAGGCAGCAGCTGAGCTGGGTCATTCTGGATAACACTTGAGTACAGGTACGTAAATCTAAGCTGTCTGTCAGAATTTGACCCAGTAGCACAGGCTTACCTTACCCAGAAGTTTTCTGCCCCCAAAACCCTGAGCTGATGGGCAAAGAACAGGAGGAGCCTGCTGGCTCCCAGCTCATTTTGCCCAAGCACCTTCTTCAGTCCTGGGCGAGCAGACAGAGAAGCACACGGAGGTAGGAAGGGAAAAGCATCTCTCCAGTGCTAGCAGAGGAGCTCCAAAGCCTTGTTTCTCTTCGGCCATGGCCACTCATACCCTCCCTATTGTATCCTTGCCACCACCACTCTCTAAGTCCTTCACCCAGAGGCAAGGGTGGCTTCAGGAAGATAAGTAGGGCACAGCCTGGGTTTTCTCCTTGATCAGAGGAAAATATGTGTCTGCCTCCTTCCTCCCACCACCTCTGCCGTGAAACAGAATGGCAGCAATTTCCCCTGACAAGATGGGTGAGTGGGTTCTCAGAAGCAGGGACATGTGTGGCATCACACACTATTGTGGCTGCTCCTACATCTGCATCTCCCCCCTGCTGGGCTATTTTGTCTAGCTATCTCTGCTGAGATCATCCAGTAGTGCTTTAAGACTTCATGAATTTTAACGTAGCAGCTGCCATCAACTTGTTCTGCTCTTCACTTCAGGAGCAGCAGATCCCTTGACAGAGATAGGGATGTTTTCTTCAAAAGGCGCTTCAGATGTCTTGCTTTCTGCCCTGCTTGAGCAGCCTGGACCTAGGCTGCTTCCTTGCTGTCTCTTGGCCTGGACTTGGCTATCAGCATGTGTGTTGGTCAGTGATGTAGGTCCATGCTGTATTTGTGTGGTTTGTTTGGATGAAGGACCTTGGATAAGACAGACCATGGACAAGAAGGACTGCATTCACACCATGGGCAAGAGCTTCAGACAGTTCCAGCTGTGGTTCCAGCTTCAGACAGGGAGCAAAAGTGGTGGAGGCTTGGATGGACAGACAACTGGAAACAAATCTGCATCTCATGCCTGGACCTTCTATAAAGCAGTTTTAGTCTTGGCAGTCTTGAATAACTTCTGGTGAACCTGCTGTGTATTTAGGAAGGTCTGGATAGGCTCAGAATAATTCCTTTAGGGAAAGCTGACCTTCTGCAGCAGCTGTTGCACTTGGTGTGTGACCACTGGTCATTCATACCAGTAAGACAGCAGGATCTCTTCAGTTGCTCCTGAAGTCAGGATCCAAAGCCAGTTATCCTCCTAGAAGCAGTATCTCCAGGGATGATGCTGTCTCTGCATCACATGCAATCCTCCAAAGAGCTGTCTTCCTGAGGAACCTTCAGAGCGAAGCCCCTGAAAACCTTATTGTGAGTTAGAGCGTGGCTCACCAAAACAGTATCTCAGCTTGGATGCTGGGTAACTATTCACAATTCAGACGTTCAGCAAAACCCCACTGATTCTCAGACTTGCTCTCCCACCACCCCCCTCTTCCCACCTGTCTGAAAAGAAGGAGAAAGCAATGCCTTTTTATTGGAAATGCTTCTGAGATAGTTGGTTTATGAAGTTTTCCTACTACATTCATTGCTGATTCTCCTGACTGAAAGAAGCATAAATACCTATCGTGACTTATTATGCCTGATTATGTATACTGTGGAATATAACCAGTTATATGCTACCTTCCCACACTGCCAAAAGAAAAATCAGGGTATAGAAAATGAGCATCCATTTCACTGGCCTGTGATACTTGATTTACAACTGAAAAGCTGTGTAGTAAAGTTTGCATAAGGATTATACAGCTCCATAGATGTTACAGCTGCCGTTTTCAAAAATGCACTTGGTTGTTGCTATCTGTGTTTTCCTTTCTTGCCTGAAAATAACCACCCACAGGAGAAATCCTTGCTCAGAGGCCCTCGTGATGTGAACTGCTGTGTATAGGGGGCTGCGTTTGCCCCATGCCTCGTCCTTCGGGCTTTGCTGGATCAGTGCTCGGGCAAAGGCGTCTGCCCATGTGCCCGGGCTCGCAGGTCACGGTTCAGCAGACTGTATTTTGCTGTTGATCTGTGCACAACACCGCTATTAAAACGTATCTGTCCAGGAAATTGCGCAAGTGTATTTGTCAATCTGCGTTACTGGGAAGCGGTAATTAATTCTTAAAGCTGGGATATTTTTCTTCTAAGGTATTTGGCTCTGTCCCCATCACTAAAAACATCCTCTCCTCAGGTTTCAAACGGGCCTTGTAAACATTTCATAGTAATTCCCCACCTCGGGACCATAAGCCAATATCCGCAAATATTGTTTCTGGGAGCAGCTCTGGGAAGAGGGGACTGAACCTCCCCTTTCTGGGGCAGCGAGGTGAATCACATACTCAGGTCCTGCAGCTGGTACTTCCTTCCATCCTGCAAACAAACCCCAGGGCAGGCAAAGCGATGCGCCTGTTGTCTGGGGCTCACAGCCTGACCCTCCCAGGACCCTTTAAGAACACAACCATCCTCAGCAAGCCAACCTCCCACTGCTGCAGTTTCTTTTGATATTAAGAAGTCCAAAGGCCTCTTTAACCCTTGGAGACAGAACTGGCAGAACCCCGAGGAGTGCAGATATCATGGAGAAACCACAGTGACAGCAGCATGGTGTTGGCAGCCCCTTAGGATCTGAAGCAGCTAAAGAGGTGTTACCTACCTGCAATGCAACAGCAGCCAATAAATATAGATGCTATTAGGCTGATTTGGGTGAAAATAAATGGGTTGC